TTTTTTTTTAAAAAAAAAAAAAAAAAAAAAAACTTACATGAGATATTGAATATAAAATCTCCGCCATAGAAACATACTTAATTAAACGAAGCGAAATTCTATTTGAATAACTTATTTTTTTAACTTGAAGCGAGATTATAGTCGTCAAAACAAGTGTCGAGCATAGGATTGAAATGAAATTAAAGACATAATTTATGATATATAAATTATTTTGACGTGTCGCTTCGCTATAAGTCACTATTGTTTGATCTTTATCCATGTTGTCCGGTAGATAATGATTATAAATTATTAATTACTTTTTATTTTTTTTTATTTTTTTACCGAATACTCTCCACTAAAAAGAAAGTTGTTACGAGTATTTCAAATACTTCGAAATTTCAACATAGCGTTAAAGATCAAACAAGCAGAAGAAATAAATTCATTTATGCATTTGATGAGATGTGGAATTTAAAGTGACGAGAAATTCTACTTAAATACAAAAAAATCAGTACACATAATGTTTTCATAATTTCGTATTGACTACAAAAAAAGCTCATTTTAGAAAAAGGTTTTAGATGATGATCACCATGCGAATGCAATATTCCCTTATAAGTCAAATAATAATTTAAAAAGAAAAATAAGAAATTTCCTTATTTAAAGTAAATCAATGATTTACAAAATTGGCAAAGCGAATTACGTACGCAAATCTTTTTCTTAAAAAGCAACACGTAATTTAATCTTTAACCATAATCGAATTAGGGAGACTTTCCCATTTTCAATCAATCATGCTATATTTATGATCGTATATTGAATGATGTCCCACGTGTAGTTTAAAATTTTATGGAATTCCGACGTTCAGAAATATGACCATGATAAAGAATTCCATTTATTATTCTTCTTTATATATTGTAGTGTGACCATCAAGTTGACTGAAATTGGACTTTTCTTCCAGACGAAGTGGTGCAGAAAAAAAAGTGAAGATTAAGGATGTGTTGGTAGAGAACTAAAAACCTTTAATCGTCGTCAAATAGATAATAACTCAATAATAAAAGGGTAATTAGAATAATAGTTCACAGAATGTAAACTTCCGAATCATGTCATTTCAATGATCGATTAAATGGCACATTATCATCATTTAATTTTGAATTACTGTATCATTAGATTACATTCCGTTAGTCAATGAACTTTGTAAATTATACGTTAAAGAAGATCACGATCTGAGCTGGTTGATGAATAAGTCATAGTAAATAATTAATTTATCGTTTTTTATTATTATTGTTCATTTACTTTCTAACTTACAAATTATTATGATCAATTAAGTCATTCGAATGATTTTTTTCATCGAAAAGTATATTATTCGAAAGCAATGGGTACGTAGAGACTGGACTCGTATTCGTTTTAACTCGAGTTAGAATTCGAGTTGACTCGAGTTAAACCTACTCGAGTCAATTTCAAATTTATGCTATATTTTATAAATAGCATGTAATTTTTTTCTTAAACTGCATTTATTAGCAATTAACATTTATTATATAATCATTGAATAAAATTTTTTTTTAAAAAAAAATTCTTTTAGTTCGGCCCCAAATTATCACAAAATTTTGGCCCGCATTGTACTTTTCCGGCCCGCATTATGACTTTAACTCGAATTTTCCAACTTCGAGTACTCTTCGAGTCAAAAATTTCTTGACTCGACTTTGACTCGAGTCCAAACTCTATGGGTACGCTTAACGTTACGTTATACTCACAAAGTTTGTGCGACAATTACATTTTCATTACTTATTTTTTATTTTATTTTATTAATGTTGTTTCTTCAAAAGTACGGAAAAGCTTGCCACCAAAGATCAAACAACAGATAGGAATTTGACAACTAAAGTGGTATATGGCATCAATAATTACGTAATAAATTGTACAAAAATTGGGTCACAATTTTTCATAATAATCATCCAGGGTCGAATATCTAATAAACAATTAATTCAAAATATAAATCCTTTGTAATTGAAATCGCGACTAAATGTTTGGTTAATTATCTCTCAAAGATTTTTCAAAATAATCTTTTCTTTGTAAGCAAGGTATGAAACATTCAATATTTTGAGCGCGTTTAAATTAATATATTTATATACAGCAAGGAAATTATTTTATGCAGCATAATCTAAATTTTAATACTTTAAATAAATCGAAATTAAATTATTTAAATATCAAACATTAAAATAAATTTCATCATCATCAACATTATTCATTAAACACCAAATTTCATCTTTTTCATTAATTCCCCAGACATTACCTTCGGGACTAATTGAAACATGCTTAAGTAGTCCACCTTCGATCATTTTCCAATCCCCATTTTTCCATAGGAATACTTCATGTTTATGATTGATTCCTATAACATGACGAATCGATGCAACTTTAATTTGAATAAGATTCCCGTTAATTGAATCCCTTATAAACATGAAAGGAAAATTAGATGAAATAAAGGATTATACCATTTTTTTTTTTTTTTTGAAAGAAAAAAAATTAAATAAAATAAAAATTTACCAGCCTTCACCATTCCATCGAAAAATTTCATGATTAGCATTTACCCCCCAGCAAGTTCCATCCGCTGCAACAGAAACTTGAGAAAGATTACCGGGAGCTTTTTAAAGATAACATATGTATATTTATCGTTAGAATATCTTAATGGAGTTATTTTAATAATTATTCCTCATGATAAATACCTTGAATCCAAACGTTACCTCTCCTATAAAAAACTTCATCTTTTGAATTAATTCCCCATATATTATTTTCATCACCGACAGCAATTTGTTTTAAAAATCCGTCAACTCTCATCCTATCAAATTGATTTTAATGTCAAATTTTTTTTTTTTTCATAAGAGAAAATAATCTCTAAATTGATACATACCATTTACCATCAATTCCACCCACTAGTCTGTAAATTTTATGATCTTTAGTGGTACACCAAATACTATTATCAGCGCCAACAGCAAGACTTGAAGCTAGTACTCCTTTTGCATGTAACCAAGATTTAATGTTCCACTTGAAAACCTAAATAATTTATTTAACCATCTTATTCTTTTTTACTTCATTAAAATTACTTGCTAAAATTGTTTGATTATTTACCTGACAATCATCGATTCCCCATAATTCTGATTCAGAGCCGATATCAAGTAGTTGTAAAAATCCGTCAATTTGTTTCCAACTCATTCTTTACATATATAAGAATAATCAAAATAATGAGAGAGAAATTTAAATTGGACATTTCCGTTAAACGTTACAAAAATTAAATCCCTGGTAGGATTTCGTGTAACAATAATTTTAATGATTATACTGACAATACTAAATCATATGATACGTAACGTGATATATTGCAGATTGATTATTTAAAAGTAATAATTAATATAATAATATAAAATAAAAACTGTTTATAGTTCGGCCAGATAGGATCAATGCCGATTTTATTGTACCAATATTAATTTTGAATATCCAATATCAAGTATAATATTAAAATTATTTATATATTATTTTATATGATTATTATACATATTATAATAATTTTTATGTATAAAATGAGCATTTGCCAATATACCGGATTCTAATAATTTTAAATTTCTCAGGTTTCAACTTAATTATTAGAATTCAAAGGCGTATTTGAAACATTTTGATGATTGGATTGTTTTAATACTAAAAAAAATATTTTAATAAATTTTTAATACAATTATTATTGTATAATAAAATAATACTTATCTTCTTTTTGCAGTTAAAAATATTAATTTGTTCTTTATTTTTGTCTGTTGAATTATATTAAAGTTTATTAGAGAAACATTTTTTCAGATACTAATATATTTTGTAATTATTTATATTAATTGATTAATATTAAAAAATAGCAAAAAAAAAATTTCAAAGAACTTGTATTTTTTTTTTTGTGAATTTTATTTGCTATACAGATGAGGGACGAAACCCCTTAATAACAGTCGAAACTTAGATGAAACTATATTAAAATCATAATAAGGGATTCGACGAAACCCATTCGATACGACGAAAGCCGAAACTGTCGAAACTATATTAAAAACATAGAAAAGGGTATGACGAAATTATTTTGAGGAGGTTTTGGCAGGCATCTATAATTTGCTATCAAAGTTATTATATTTAGTTATTGCTGATCATAAGAAAGAACATAAAATTAAACATCTTAACCTAATCTATAATGAAATTGATATTTAACTCTTTCTATTTACATAATTTATAATTTTTCTATTATTAATATCAATTTTTATCATAATAATTATAAAATTAATGTAACTTAAATTTATTTGTTTCTTCTTCTTCTTAGAAATAAAAATTAAGTTCAGTATTAACTGGTCATAAAATAATAAATCTATAATAATTATTTACTAAAATAAAGTTATTTAAAAAAGTTAACTTTCCTTCTTTTTTATAATGACTAATATTTACTCTTTAACTGTCTTTAATCTAAAAATTCAAATATCATAATCTCTATTAAATCTTTTTAAAAATTATTTATCATTAAGTATAAATGTTTTTCACTATATAATCTAAGAAAAATTGCACTTTAAAAAAAACTTTGATATAATAATCTTCTTAAATACTATTATTCATTTTTTATTGATTAATAATTTATATCATTTTATCAATTATTACATTTATAATTTTATATATTAGCAATAATTTTATTAGAATTTAAAATAAAGAAAATTTTAAAGAAGATTTTAATAAAAAATTTAAGATCTATTTGGCTTTTTATTAATGACAGAAAAATGTATTAGATTTTTAGATTTATTTAAACTCAAGATCTGAAAAAAGCTTAATTTTTTATTAAAACTTTTCATAAATTTAAAACTGAAATTCTTATTAAATATCAATACCTTTAATATAATTATTAATTAATTGTTATAACAGTTATTTAAATAGAATTTACTAAGATTTCTTAATTATTTTATTATTTTATTATAATAATAAATTATAATAATTATTAATCTAACTTATTTTGTGTTACAATTTCTTTAATAGTTTAATAAATTAATATATTTTTAATAAATTTATCTAATTTTAGTAAAAACTTTAATATTTTTTTGCTTATTAAAATTTCTTAAAAATTTTACATATTTATGAAAGATTGTAATTTTAAATAATTAAAAAGATACAAATAACAAATAAATATTATAATATATATAAATATAATATTATCATAACTGTTTTTATTATCTTTTAGCATTTTTGTGATATTTTTTTTTAAAATGAAATTAGTTTATTTTTAAAGAAAAAAAAAAAAAAAAAATATTTAAAATCAATGTAAGTTAAAATATGTGATGAATTAAGATAAAATATTCTAAAATAGAGCTAATTTTTATTAAAATAATTATTAAATATAAAGTAAAAAAATAGTTTATTATAAATTTAATTTTTTAATTAATAATATAATTTCAAAAATAAATATATTTTAAAAATAAATAAAATAATTATTAAAATATAAAGTAAAAAATTATTATGTTAACAATAGTTATTTATAAGATAATTTAATAAATTTATCAATTATAAAAATAGTAATATCTGAAAATTTTTACAATAATAATTTTTTGAGTATATAATTTGTTTCAGTAAAACAAATTAATAAAAATTTTTAATTTTTTCTTTTCTTTTGATTTCACTTAAATATTTTTATATAAGATATCTATTTACTTTAAAATTGAATAAATATATAATTAATTTTTATTATACTTATATTTTAAATTTAATAATACTTTCAAAAACTATTTTTAAATTTAATTAATATAACAAAATAACTTATAATTCTTAATAAAATAAATATTTATAATAAACATTTATTGAAAAAATTTTTTAATAAATTAAAATTTTATTGTATTTTTAATTTGTTTAAAAATATAATTTTTTAATAATTATTTATGTAATTATATAAGAAAAATAGTAATTAGTTATAATAATAATAAATTACATAATTATTAATATTAAAAAATTAAAAAATCTAAAATTAAAGAAACTAATATTAAAGATAAATTATATTAAAATAATATTGCTAATAAAAAAATAAAAAATGTTAAAAGTTTAATTAGAATTTTAATTATTCTCTAAAATCTTTGAAAAAATTTAATTATTATAATAAATAAAAAAAATTAATTAAAGATAAAATTAAAAAATAAATTATATATTATTAATTAAATAATAATTTAAATATAAACTTATAGTTTATTAAATATTTATACTCGTAATTGTATACATTTTATAAATTAACTAAATATCAATAATTCTACAATATAATATTATTTTAATGAACTTTATTAAAGAAGTTCTTGATTTCTTTAATATAAAATTTTTTATTTTATATACAATACAATACTTTTATTTATATAAATAAATAATATTATAGAATTTATATTATACTAATTTTGTAAAAGTTATATTTGTAAACCTTGTAATGGTTCTACTAGATGGTATAAGCATGTTATTTGATTCTTAAACATAATTTTTAACAATTTATATCGACTCAAAGTTGATCAGTTAACTTACATATGCTGTGCTTAATTGTTAACGCTTTACAATTTTATCGTCGTCAGGCGAGTAGTAATTATTTTCTAAACAAATCAATTTAATATTTAATGTTTCATAAAATTTGGAAAGAAGTGATGCTTTCAATCTGATACTTTGAAGTTCTTTTCGCACATAAAAAATAAAAAGGAATATTACGCCTTATGATCATTTTTTTTTTAAAAAAAAAAAAGTTACCCATCAAAAAAATTTTTTTTATTGATATCATATCATAATAATGGACGAAATGGTTCAGAATATTAATTAAATTTTATAATATAATAATTTAAATTAAAATATAAATAAATCGTTAATTATGAATTTTGAATCGGTCATGAATTGCTAAATTTAGTAATATTCGATGTTGGGGATTTTTTCCATTTATAAAGGACATGAAGGATAAATAAATAACGATGATACCTCAAAAATAACAAATTTAATTCATTTCTTATGCTTTCCATGTATTTATCAATGACGGGATACAAACTCGGTAAGCTTATTCTTTATCTTTTATCGAAACCAAGCAATATGGAATTTTATGAATGGATCATTGTCCTTGACAATAACATTTTTTCATCATTTCATTAATTTCGGTAGTTTTGATTGCACCACCTATGACATCTGTTATTTTGATGTTCTGGAACCGCAATGTTTTTACAAGTATTTGGATCGTGTTTGGATATATAGTATTCCACTGGCGGGTCTTCATAAAGAAATATTTACAGACGTGATCCTTTTAGTATCACTCATTTATTCAGTTTCCTAATAAATTTTTTTAATGATTCACTTTATTTTTATTATAGGAATTTGTGAGATAACAATGAGTGAATATTGTTCTGATTAGAAATCGAGAATTATAGATACTGGATTGCAGAAAAAGTTGTGACAGGCTACGCGTACTGGCCATTACCTCTGTGAATATGATAATGGAATGGTAGATTTTAAGCCAGCTTCGGGGTGGAAAATGATAAGAAGACAAGAACGATAGACGAGGGCTTATGGAGCTGGAGTACGTGTAATTGAAAGGCGAATAGGTTTTGTAAATAATCAAATTAAAAGGTTGGTAATCTATTTTATTAATATTATTAATATTATTATTTGAAACATTATACTACATTGTTAACATCAGATTTCGAATAGAAATATTTGATGAGAGAGATCCTTTCTGAAAGCAATCATATATCAAGAAGCAAAATACCATATATTATATTACGGCTAGCTGGTCTGTCTACTTGACCGGATATTGGATAATACATTTGGAAATTTTAGACCAACATGCCGTTAATTTTAAAACTAACGTTTAAACTTATACGAGATATATATAGCAACGCTTATCTTTTATTTATTTGTTTGTTTTTTCATTGTAAACATTTATTATATACATAAAAGCAAGTTACTGTACATTATACGAAGTATAATGAATTACATTTAATATTTAAATGGTAATTGCTTCATAATTTCAGAATAATCTAGTCCCCATATTCTCTCCAGCGAACATTATATCTGGAAGGTCTTCGTCTTCTCGATAAGTCCATTTCTCAATACAATTAACCGTGATTAAACAATCCGGATGGTTTTCGTTCCACCACGAAACGAATTTTTCAGGAGTAGTTAGCCCTCTTGCCTTGAGATTAAACATTCGCTTTGGGTCCGGAAATTTACCACTATCTTTGTACCATCTCTTGATAGATACTTGTATGTTGGAATGAAATTGAACAGTTAATCTAGCAATTTTTATAGAATCAAAGTTGATCATTAACTTACAAAGGTTGAGCTTAATTAATAACGCTTTACTTTCTTCGGTGTCAATAATATCGTCGTCGTTAGGCGTGTAGTAATTATTTTCTAAACAAATCAATTTAATATTTAATGTTTCATAATAACTTGGAAAGAAGTGATGCTCTCAATACCGTCAATCTGATACTTGGAAGTTCTTTCAACAAATTCTTTATAGCCTTGTTCATCAGGAAAGTCCTGAATATAGCCTTGTTTCAGAATAGAGTCCTGAAAATCTTTAATGCCTTGTACATCAAGAATAAAGTGTTCTTCCAGAGGAGAGTTCTGAACAGATTTATTTTCGATTTTGGTTACGTTCATTGTGTGAAAATTCGCACAAAAAAGAAAGGGACGCTTATACAATTAGTAATTATATTAAAAAAAAAAAAGGATTACGCCATGTGATCATCATTATATGATATTTTTTTAAAAAAAGTTACCTAAACAAAATTTTTTTTTTTTTTTTTAAACTTTTCTTTGATATCATCATATCATAATGAGATAGTTTAAAAAAGGTTCAGAATATTAATTAAATAGAATATTGATTTAGCCATTTAAGAAAAAATTAAAAATTTAAATAAATCGTTAATTATGAATTTTGAATCGGTCACGAAAGTCTAAAGATTTCTTTATGATAAAATTGCTAAATTGATGTTGAGGGATTTTTTTTTTTATCCAAATTTCCCTTCGCCATTTATGAAGGATAAATAATAACGATAATACAGCGAACACTACCAACCTTTTGTTTGTGTGATCGTTGTTGGTATGCAAGATTATGAGTAAAAATAAATTAAATTCATTTCATGTATTTATCAATGACGGGATACAAACTCGGATATCAGCTAGCTTATATATTCTGATCGAACACTTTCATAATTTGGTAAATTAAAATTTCTCTTTCTTATCAAAACAAAAAAATGTGGAATTTAATTAACTGGATCATTATTTCCTTGACAATAACATTTGTTTTAAGTATTATTTTTATTTCAGTAATTTCGGTAGCTTTGTTTGCACCACCTGTAACATTTGTTCTTTTGGTGTTCTGGATCGTTGGCTTCTGGATGTTGGTGGTACCGTCAATGTTTTTCGCAAGTATTTGGACCGTGTTAGGATATATAGTATTCCAATGCTGGGTCTTCATTAAGAAATATTTACAGACGCGATATTTTAGAGGGCGTACAGTATCATTCATGTATTCAGTTTTCTAAATAAATTTTTTTTTTAAAAAAAAATTCACATCATTTATTTTATTATAGAAATTTGTGAGATAAAAATGAGTGCGTATTGCTATGATCAGATATGTAATTAAATCGAGAATTATGGTTCCAATGAAGCTGAATTGCAGAAAGAATTGAGACTGGCTGCGGATTATGGCCGTTACCTCTGTGAATACGATAATGGGATGGTAGTTTTTAAGCCAGCTTCGACGTGGGTATTGACAAGAAGACAAGTATCAGGAAGAATATATTTAGGCTCTTATGGAGCTGGAATACGTGTAATTGGAAGGCGAATTGGTCATGCAAACAATGTGCAAATTATCAAATTTAAAGGTTGGTAATCTATTTTCTTTTTTTCTTTTTTTGAAATTTATATTACACCGCTAACAACTGATTTTCGGATAGAAATTTTTGACGAAGGTGATCCATACGAAAGGCAATCATATATTAACCTTCTTAGAAGAGAAGCAAAGACCAGTAATTTTATTACCGGCTATCTGGGCTATTTACAAGGTCGGCCATTAGACTATTCGCTTGATGATGATCAATTATATTGGAATTTTAGACCATCATATCGTTAGTTAAAGCTCACAATCATTCGAGAAAATTTTATAGCAACGCTTATCTTTTTTTTTTTTTCATTGCAAAGATTTATATGATTCAAATACATTAAAACAAGAGAATTTAATATTTATATTTATATGTCAATTGTGGCCTAATGCCATAATCAATGAAATTTTCTCATTAAATAAAAAAAAAAAAAGACTTGGGTTCACAACAATCATATTCACTCAAAAACATAATAATTGGAAGGGTCTTCTTCTTCACGATAAGTTCAACTGTGGTTTGACAATCTGGATGGTTTTCGTTCCACGAAACGAATTTTCAGACCTCTCTTTTTAAGGTTAAACAAATACTTTGGATCCGGAAATATGCCCTCATCTTTGTACCATTTCTTGAGAGATGCTTATATGTTGAAATGTCAAGTGAAAAGTTTGTCTAGCTCGTCCACAATATTTTTAGAGTCTTGTTCTTCCAGATGCTGTTCAGAATTTTTCGAAAAAATTCGCATCAAGGGCCATATGTCACGAGAGGAACATATTATAAACTCAACATTTTAATTAATAACTTACTTAACTTGAATTGGAGAAATTAAAGAAAATACCAAGATGTATTGATAAAGTCGAAAAAAAAAATCACTTTTAGGAAGTAAATAGCTTTTCCGATTAAAAAAAATCGCGTATAAGAGTCACGTGATGCGACGAAGTTTAGAAAAAGTCCAAAAGAAAATTTCTTATAAGGCAATATTACTTACCACAAAGAGATGATCAACTAATCGCATAAGTAAATTCTAATATTTTAGATATTTTTTTTTTTGTGTGTAAATCAACTATCTTTTAAAAACCCTTTCCTTTCAAATAAAATTAAAAAAAAAAAAAAATGGGATGTCAATTATCTGATAAATTTTTGCGTTTTTATATCATTGGGATGATGATCATTTTGGGGATTTATTTGTTCTTTGGTGACATGAACATGAAAATTAGTAAAGTGGGACTCCCACCATTTTCTAATGATTTAGAAATAAAGAAAATTGATGTTAGTCAGGGAGAAGATTTTTGGATATTAACTGATAAAGAAGAAGTAAATTATTTATTTAAACGATTTTTCATCTCATAGAGGTTCGTTAATAACAGATTTTTTGTCAATTAATAGCTTTATCATTGGAGCACAATTTTGAAAAATCATATGTTCATGCAAAAGGATGTATTTGATTTTTCTATCGGATCCGATGGAACGGCCGTTTACCTTAACAATAATGACGAAATTTACATTAGAAACATGTTTTTCAATTCATGGTAAAATACTTTATTACAAAGTTGAATTCAAATTTTCATTCACCATATATCCTTTCTTTTATAGGTTTAGAATAGATGATGGGAATTACAAGCACAAAACCATTTCCATTTGTGATTCCAATACAATTTTTACAACAAATGACCATTCGGATTTCATTATAGGTGTTTATAATGTCACAGACAATACGTACAACTGGGAATATGGTATGAAATTTTGATCATTTTCGAAAACAATTTCTCGAAAAGGATAACATTACATTGCTTGAATGTTGATAGTCGATGAACTTCATTATTATTACGATGTTTATTGCGCACCTCGTGATCAGTCATTATGGCTTAAGGATCATTATAGTTTTGTTTATAGATATATTAATCGTCATCAACGGTAAGTTGTTTCGATTTAATTCTTTTGAAAAAGATTCTTTTGATTAATTTCAACGATTTTCTTTACCATACAGTACTCCTTTAACCGAGATTTCATTTAGACATATAAAAGTTCTTTCGGAACACCACGCAATTGGACTTGACTATATAAATAATTTATGGGAATATACAATTGGTACTTGGGTTTTGATAAGAAGAAATGTTAAAAGTGCAACTATTAATTATAATGGTGACATCTTTTTCCTTGATAACAATATTATTTATAACATTAAACGCTATTAACGAAGGAATTAAGAATGGTCCAATACGATGATGACGCAAAGTTGTATTTATTAACTTTTGATAAGCATCATTGTGCATATACTGTATTTTTTTATGCTATGTGAAAGAACCCCAATGGTGAATTCATTTTGAAACTTTCACAAAAATCTTTTCCATTTTCTACATTTGGAATGATTTTCTTCTAAAATTAGAAAATAAATGTTCTTTTGTTCAAAGAGATAATCTCTAGTGATGTATAAAGCATCAAAAGGTTATATTTTGCTTAGGTAATAGATGCTCATTTGAATAATATAATGCATGACCAAAATATGAGGTTTTTAAAAGTATCGAAAAATGATATTATCACTTTTGCGTCCTTTTGTTGGAACGATTATCATTTTTATCGTTTACTTTCTTTTTAATGATTGGGACACACAATTTAATAAAGTAGGCATACCTCCATCATTTCCATTTCCATTTTCTGTCCATGGGATCAAGAAAATTGACGTTGGTCGAGGAGAAGATTTTTGGATATTAACAAATGATGATTCTGTAATGATACTTTTTTAAGTTACAACTTGATTCCTATTGCGTAAAAAAACAAAATTTTTTAGTAACATTATTATGTGTATTTAATCAGCTTTATCATTGGGATAAAATTAAGCAAGAATTTGTTTTTAAGGTTAGGAATATTTTAGATTTTTCTGTTGGGCTAGAAGGAATGGTTGTTTATGTTAGTGGAAATGGTGTTTATAGAAATTCATATAGTAGTGATTCATGGTAAAAAAAAAAAATTATATTTATATAAATAATTTTTATACATTTTGCAATTTTAAATAATTTAATATGCATATATATAATTTTGAAAGGAATCAAATTAGTGATGGAAGAAGTTCTAGAAGTATTACCATTTGTGATTACAATACAATCTTTGCAACGGATAATTGCAACCATCTTGCTAAAGCCATTTATGATATTAAAACCAATACGTATGACTGGGAATTCGGTATGACAATTAAACTATTTTCGTTAAGCAAATAAGCAACCTTGATTTTAAAGTATTTATATTTTAGTCGGTACCTCCAGTATTTATTACCAAGTATCTTGCTCTTCCCATGATCATTCTTTATGGTACATAGATAAAAATAATCTTGTTTATTTATTTGTTAATCATTTCGTTCGGTAAGTCGGTAAGAATTTTATAAAATTTGCTTTTTTGAAGGGGAAAAGAAAAAAAAAAAAACAAAATTTTTTTTTACCTTTATTATATATAGCGTTCTTAAGTCAGAAGTTCAATTTAAACAAATTAAATCGCTCTCTACACTGCATGCTATTGGAATTGATTTCAATGATTCCTTATGGCTATATACTAATGGTACTTGGACTTGGATCAGAGACAATGTCAACAATGCAACTATTAATTTTAATGGTGATATTTTTTTATATTGATCAGAATTGTCTATGAAAATATGAACGAATATAAATCAAGGTGCTATAAAATATGTACTAGATTTTATGATTTTTCAAAACAGATTGCTTGTATCCTTTTTTTATTTTGATCAGATACAGTATTTTTTAACTTATAAAATTAAGCATTTGAGTTTGCAATATAAAGAAATTTTTATAATAAAACGCAATCCACTATATACTGTATGTACAGTTTTTTTTTAAAATATTAATAGTTACTTTTTGAACTTTGAATGTATCACTTTGTGAATAGCACAATCAATTATAATTATAAAACTTTCCCCCTTTTTTTTTATTTATTTGATACGTAATTATGAAGATGAAGAGGCAAATTGCATAAATATCATAAATATTATGAACCGATTCAAAGAAAACATTAGGAAATTTTAATTATTAAATATTATTCATTTTGATCTTAGTAGGCATTAACGAAAGAGAATATCTGGTGGGTGACAAATAATTTATATTGATCACGTGATTAGCCGCTTTAGAATCTTCCCCTAGCATAACAGAGTTTCTTAAATGATCGTTAGTTACACAAGTACTTTATATAATATATCCATATAATTACTATTGTATTCTACACTTATTTATATACATTATGATCTCTTAGTTTCACTAGAAAGAACTTTAGAAATACCTTCATATTACATGTAGTCAAAAATATTGGTTTTGTAACCTTTAAAATATCTAATAAAATTTGGGTCTTTTTTTTAAAAGCCTTGAAAATTCACATGAATAAGATTAGAATACAAAAAGATAATCATTTCTTTTACAGACTTTTTGTGAAACTTCAAGGATTGGTTTTGTGATGAAATTGGTTTAACCAATCAGAATTTTCATCAGTTATCCAATAAAATCAATAAAATCAAACTTCTATCATACTTATTATTTTAGACTCTATATATAAATAAATTTTTTTAAAGTACTTATCACTAGTATTGCTAATACTTTTTACCTTCACATGATCCTGTTATTCTACACTAAACTACAATAAATTACCAGATTTTATAAATTTTACTTAGTAATATATAGTAAAATTAAAGATTTTTAGAT